CACTACATTTCTTCTGTACTACTGTGTAAACTTGAATTTCTCCCATGGGGGATCAATAAAGGAACATCTTATCTTATCTTATCTTAAGGCTGAAGATGAGTAGAAATTAAATGAGACTGTTCCTCTGGACAGAAACAAATAAGAGAAACAGTGAAACAAAAACATCCACAGTCTCTCTTCTCTGCCCTCAGAGAGGGCACAACTATTAGAAAAATTTTTAATTTGGCTCTGAGAAAGACAGAGGTTGCTGTGCAAGAGGCTTTGTCTTCAATTTTTGAGTGTATACACAACTAACCAAGAAGTATGGGCATGTTTTTCAGTTATAAAATCTGGGTCTGTTTATCTGGATGTGTTTGTAGGTCCTTCAGGGTCTGGACTACCTCCACACTAAATGTAAAATCATCCACACGGACATCAAGCCAGAGAACATCCTGATGTGTGTAGATGACGCCTTTGTAAGGCGTATGGCCATGGAGGCAACCGAATGGCAGAAAGCTGGAGCCCCCCCGCCATCTGGATCAGCAGGTACACACAAAAACACTCACACTAGGTGTATTTTAAAGAAAATAGTATAGTATAGTATAGTATAGTATAGTACAGTATAGCATAGTATATATAATATTAAATAACTCGTAGTTTCCAGTCTTAATGCTAAGCTAAGCTAAACGGCTGCTGGCTGTAGCTACATATTTGGCATATAGGAACGAGTGGGGTTGATGTCACCAAACTCTCACCAAGATTAACCAATGAAGGTAATTCTCGAAATATCTTTTAATGTTTTTTCTTAACATCTTTTCCCAGAATTTTGCAACCAAATTTTCATTTATTTCACTTGGGTAATTTAAAGGTGAAATAAAAAAAACACATCAAAACTAAACATTCAAGAGTAACATCTTACTTAGCAGCAGCATAGCGCCACAAAGATACAGCATGCAGTGAAGTCGTGGGGTTAGTGTTTTAGTTAGCAAGGTGTGTAGCTTCTTAATCAAAATTTTGATTTTAGCTAAAAGGGGAAGGTTACAGTACATGTGGTAGATTAACATTTCTTTTTCCTAAAAAAGAATTGGTATCAATAATGTAATTTTTTTTCTCTCTAAATGATCATGTTTAATATTGAAGTGTTCAGTAAAGAAACAGGATTTACACAGAAGCCTCCTCAGTTTCTTGCATTTTTTGTACCACACAGAGACATTTCTTACTTTTTCATCTCCTGTCACCAAGTTCCCCCACAGAAAAAAATCAAGTTCTTAAAGAACTGTCTTGAAAAACTCGACATGAACCTTGTCCTCTCGGTGAACTCCCCCCCATGAGCTGTCAATTGCTTGCATCAACTGAAGGAGTCTTTTTCAGCCTTAGGGTAACCAATTATACTGCTTACATTTCTACAAAATTAAATTTAGGCACAAGACCATCAACTGTCAAAACAGGTGGTGATAAAATCTGCCTGTGACTGAAGAGGCAAAATAAATAAAAGGTTTTATTGGCATGTGCGCAAAGTGTCTTTTATTTTTGCTTCTGCTAGATTGAAGCTACGTAGGACAAAAATAGCAACATACTTGTACTGGTATACAATGCTGGTATAACGTATACGTTTATTTAGCAATATTTTGGTGTTCAGAAAATACTGTTTGATATGTTATTTTACTTGCTGAGCTGTTGAGCTGGAAACCCTTAGTAGATGACACAACAATCAATCAGTCAATGCTAAAATTAATCTTCTGTGCACCACTTTGTCTGTTGAGAATGCATATTAAGAGATTGTTCATGGAAAATGGAAAATACAAGTACATACAAGAGTGTGTTGGGAAATGAGCAGGACTCAAAAGGATTTAAGCAGGACTTAAAGATATTTTTATATATATTAAGTATCACTCTACTGTAACTCTTTTCAGGTTTATCCAAATGTTGATTGGTCTCAGATGATTCAGGTGAGAGAAGACTACTGTCCTATATAGGAGCTACCATTCTCACGCATGAGAAGAATAAGCCATGAATATTATGGATCTGGGACAAGCAAATTAAGGCTGTGGGAGTGTGAAAGATCTTTTTCTTCATTTGTTTGCAGTTCTCTCACTGCACCTACAGAACGTGGACAAAACCTAATGATTTTCTTTTCCAGACGAGTAACGATATTGAACATACCGTGAACTCGGCTGTGTGGCGGATTGATGTTGGTGACACTTTGAAGCCTCTGATTTTTGTTGTTTTTCTTTCTGTCTGTCAGTTAGCACAGCCCCCCAGCTCAAACCGGTGAGTACAACAGATGTGAGTATGAAATGAGAGGAATGCACACACACACAAACATAAACACACATACACACACAAAGTCAAAAACAAGGTACATACAGCATGTCACACTGTTTTGGTGTGATCTCCATGATAGCTAGAGATACAGGGAGGCTACTGAGTGCATCATAATATTTGGAAGCAATATTTAAAATGTCTGTTGGACTTTATATTCCATTTTTGCCAATAGAGCCTCCTTAATGTTACACACTGGACCTTTAAGTATCTTTAATAAATAGAGTTTCAGTAAAATTAGAAAATGTGTTTCTTTGCATGTCCCTGTCAGAGAAACGTGATTAAAATAAATTATTTCACTATAGCTGTGCTGATGACAAAATAGGCAACAATCATAGTAAAAGCTCATAAAAAACATCCTCAGTTACTCCAAAACTCAGCTAATCTGCATCATCAGGACTGTGTGGGTGAGGTTTGATCAGACTTGATTGACACTGGTCTGAAAATAGGAGCAAACAGGCCCACAACTCTCAGCAGACTATGATTCAAATGTTGCTAATCCTGCACTGAAGAATGTGGCATCACCTTTTTCCAAGTCCCGCCCACTCCAAATCAGCAAACAAAGCACAAACAGAAACAGAAATGAGAAAATATGTTTTCCTGGGGCCTCTAAGAAGTGAGAGAATTTACTTACCCTATAAATGAACATTTGATCCCTCAGTTTAGCTGAAAAATTAAAAATGTTGTTGTGGTTTTCATTGGACAGCAATGATGTGCTCTGATATTTATTATCAATATACAGTGGACATGTTAGTGGACACTACATAACCAAACATTCAAATAACTATCAACATGTTTATTCTTTAAATACCTCCCATTTGTGGTTTTTGCCTCCCCTGTGACGCTCCCTCTTCCTTTCTTGTCTCATTTTTTGTCCCAGGTGGGGAAGATCTCCAAGAACAAGAAGAAGAAGCTGAAGAAGAAACAGAAGCGGCAGGCAGAGCTGCTGGAGAGGAGGATGCTGGAGATCGAAGCCCTGGAGAGAGAGGCCGAGAAGAGGGAGGAGAAAGCCAAAGAAGGAGGAGAGAAAGGGGAGCATGAACACAACCTGTCTTCACCACTGCAGCTGCCGCCACCGCAGCTGGGCCCTAGCATGGCCCTGGGAGAGAGCGACGAGGATGATGATGATGAGGAGGATGGGGAAGATGAGGAGGAGGAGGGAGGAGAGAGGGAGAGGCCCATCAGGTTGACTAATCATACATGTGAGTCATGTGATCCGAGGAGTTTTCCCCAGTTTGAGTGCTGTGGTCCTCAGGGCGACAGATATATAACGTTATTAAAATCAGATATCCTCAATGAATGCTGTTCACCCTTAATATGACAAGTATAGTATGATGCATGGGATTTGATAATTGATGAATATGTATTTTACCCCTGGGTGAATTTCTCATTTGTTTCGCAGAACTGAAATGAACTTGAGTAACTTCAGTCTAACCACCAGGCTAGCCTCATGAAACGTAAAAAATAAAATATTCTCTGTTGGAAGGTTCAGTCCAGAAATGTTGGTCGTGGTTTCAGCTTCAGATAGCTCATATTGGTTCAATCCTGTCTTTGACCTTTGTCTCTTTGTAGGAATCTACGGGTATTCTACTTTGCATTCATTGTTATTTTTAGTTCATTTAACATACTTAATGCTTAATTATTCCTTATTTATTGAAACTGTGTGGTGTACAATCCTTTCTTTCTCTAAGTGAAATGCACTGTGGAGGAACAGTGAGCAACATATTTAGATTATCCTGTACTTCTTACTGTATTGACGTTATTAACAATTAGGAAGGTGAAGGTGGTAAAAGCAAGTGGCTCCAACAGATCTGCAGCATGAGTGAGTGTGTGAGTATGTGTATGCAGGTTTGTGCCGTCTGTCTGTGAATGAATAGGAGGTGGATTGGCTCCAACCATCAGCCCACGCTAGTCCCACTGTGTATGGGAGGCTAGGCTGATTCACAAAAAACAAAAAAACAGTCTTTCTCTGTCTCCCCACCTTCCGTCTCTTTCATTGTCTCTTTTGCCTTCTCCGATCTTTATTCTCTTTTTGTTTTCCTCACTGCCTACACCATATCTCCTTCCCGTCCACCTCCTCTCTTAACAGTTTTTCCTGCACTCTGTCCATGTTAGGCGCAGCACCTCCCCAGGAGCAGAGCGAGGCGCCCCGCATCACTGACGACGACCCCAATGAGGAGGAGGAGGAAGAGGAGGACGAGGAAGAGGAGGACGAGGAGGAGGAGGAACC